CTGACGTTCTGCTCAAGGTTTTTTTGGTGGTTTTCCCTTGAGACGGAGGACAAATGTCAGGACGTAAACTGTCTGGAAAAGGCCACCTGGGTAACTAATTACATTCTTTCCTTGTTTACCTACTTTTCAGACAGAAGTACTTGCGGTGGAGGTTACCTGTCAGTTGTCCGTTGGAACGATAGTTCGAGGTTATAGGACTGAAGCTGGCAGGATTAACGGTTCGATTGTCGTTGGTCAACACAAGTGAAATTTGCCGCGGCCGGGACGGCCGCTCATTCGGCGAGGAGGGCAATGTTACGGCGACTTGTCGAAATCAAGTCGCTGTAATGTGAAACTGCCCTGTTGTGAGCAACTCCTTAAAGAAAAATAGAAGAGAGGGGTTGCCACGGAGGTGTTTTATCAACGGACAATCGAAGAGTCGGGATCGGACCGTCGAGCGATCAACACNGCCACAAAAAATTATCTATTAAACAAAAAATCTACTATTTAATTTTCAAAATACTAGACTAAACATCACTAGATATCAAGAGTATGAATACATAACAATACTGCTAAAATTTTTAATCAAAAAGACCAAAATTATTGCTTTTGTAGATCTATGTCGTCTACTCTCTTTTCAAAAAACTTTATTGCATTATTTAAACTTCCATGAGAGCACAGCTCGCTAAGAACTTCATCCAATAACATAAGCTTATCTACAAATGTCAACATATTTTCTTTTCCTTGATCTTTAAGCCTATCAACATTTTTCACGCAATACTCATTTATAACGTTAAATATTTCACATACATCGACGCAGCCTTTTACGATAAAAGATATCGAAGTAGTACGTAATGTCTAAGATTATACGTACTTTTAAAGAATGAATGTATTTACATGTGAGAATAATAAAACGTGAATCATGAAGAATATTAATGGAATCTAATGCATTAACTGTAAATACTAAGCTATCAAAGATATTACGAGGAAGATTAAGAATATCGTGATCGATACTTTGTGTTATACAAGTATTGGCAATATGTTTCGTTTCAGTGATTTTCTTATAAATTGAATATTTGTTGTCATATATTGCCGAATAATTCAAACCATCAACAATATTGCTAGTCAGGAATTCCTTTGATTCAATAAAATCACTTTTTATATTCGAATATGCGAAAATAAATCTTTTAACCACCTTTAAAAATTTCCTGTTGACCGTATCATCACCTTT